TAGAAGCTCAAAAGTTGGGATTTATTTTTTTTTTGGTTGGGGCGTGGGGCAAATTCTGCAAGATGCAAGCATGACGATGATTACTTGAAACTTGGGAAATCAAATATTGGTTTGGTTATTTTTGGATCATAATTGTACTTTAATTAAGTTTTGATTTGATTATTGGGATAATTTCAGAAACCTCCCTGAGGCTTCCTTCTAGTTTAAAAAATTACACCTACCTCCCCTATGATTAGCATTTCAATAACAATGGAGACCCAATATGCTAACTTTCTCCTCAAAAATCGTAAAATACCCCTTTGTTACTTAGAAGGGGAAAAACAAACTAATAAATTTCTTTCACGTTGCAACTATTGTAAATGACATAATCACTACTCTAGCAAACTCAATAAAACACTTCACCTTAATTCCCATATTCTTACAATTTTGACAGCCTGCTATTGCTGTCCCAAAGCTTCCCATGTAAATCAACTATGGCAATTAAAGTCTGCATACAACCTAATTTTTAGCCTCTTTTTTTTTTGCCTAAATTCAATATTTGAATTGATCAATGTCACTGTTCAACCTTGTTGGTACTAAAATAATGTAACCTACCTAGAATACCAATACGGAGCAACCAAAAACAACACTAGAGACCACATCCCATGTCTCTAGGCAAATCTGATTATAGTTTTTATATCTCAAAATTCTTTTTTATTGGTATAATACCATAACCTTATTTAATCCACATTCCCTTTTTAGCTATCATTTTTAGTTTCTTGTATATACTCTGTATCACCGCCATCTTTTTCACCTTCATATAATTTGACAACAAACATGATCCGGCAACTTGTCATTTTGTAATTTCAATTCAATAATACTTATAAAAAAGAGAAAACAGAAAAGAGAGAGTGTGTCTATTTGCGAAAAAAGAGATGCAGGAGAAAGAAGGTAAGAGGAGGAGTCAGAGAGATAGAACAAGAGTTTAGTTTGTGTGGCAGCAGTTGTTTTAGAATAAAAGACTAGTTGTAATTGTAAAGTTTGTTTGTTTGTTTGTGGGAATTATTTATAAGTGAAGGATATTATAGTCATTTTACTACATGAGGGGAGGTTAGTGTAATTATTTAAACCTGAAGGGAGGTAAGTGAAATTGTCAGAAACCTCAAGGGAGTTTTCTGAAATTATCCCTTGATTATTAGAGTGCCCATACCTGGGAATAACAAGTAAGTATTGTTATGTAAAAACATCTCACAGCAATGTGTTCTTGTATGTTAGGGATGAATTATTTCTTACTAACCATACTTGTTGAAAATTCATGGTATGATGTATAATCTGATGTTTAGCAATCCCTTGGTAGATTTTTATGAATTTCTGATTTTGTTAGAAATTAGTTGGTAAGTGGAAAGTTTCTTGTTCATACATGCTTTTGTAATTGGAAGTTGAATGCAGCTCGAAGTGTAATGGTTTTGTTTCTCATCTTAGAACCATCATGAGGGTTGGATTTTTACTGTTCATATACCCCGGAGGCAGAACCAAAGAAGCAAGTTAGGCTTAATTAGATGAGATGTTGCATGTTATTTAAAGAAAGTTCTAGCAATTATCACACAGTCTGAAAATGTGAAATATGGCAGGGCAGAAGTTTAGAGGCATTTGACAATGTTAGTGGAGGTAGTCACCTATTAGGGTTTAGCACCAAAGTCTTTGATGTTCCCCACCACACCCTACTTTGTGAAACTTTACTGAAACCCTAAAATGGCTTCAAGTCCCTGTTGCAAAAAAACCTATCTCAGCATCTTCTGAAATTACAAAACTTGCCTTCAAGTTCAAAAAATCTAATATAAACTGGGATTAATGATTAAATGACCCTCAAATACATCAATAGAAGCAGCTAAAATATCCTGGAGTCTGTCATTTTCTGAGATTCCCGATAGTCCCTCATTCTTCTCTGTGTCCTGCATCACCATTCTTTTTTCTGGCATTGGGTCCTTTCTTCTTTCATGCTGCCCTTGTCTTTCTACTTGCTTATTTGCTGTTCTGCTTTCTTTTACTTGCTCTTGGATCACCATTCTTTTTTCTGGAATTGAAACTTTTCTTCTTTCATTTTGCCCTTATCTTTCCACTTGTTTATTTGCTGTTTTGCTTTCCTTTACTTGCTCCTTTTTAGGCATTGAATCTTTTCTTCTTACTGTTCCACTTGAACAGTAATGTCATACTATGCTGTGTGTCATCTCATTCAACATTTACTTCAATTGGAGCTATAACTCAAAGTTATTGAACAATGCAGACAGTACATTTTATTTGAACAAATTGCTAGGCTTCTGAGATTGCTATCCATACCACCTACAATTATGTTCCTAACTGTCCTTAGCTTAAGTTGTTAGCTCATTCGTTAAGTCATTAATTAGCCTAATAATTTGAATTTGATTATCCGTTGGCTTATTATTATTATTATTATTTTGGTTAAGTTTCCTCAATTCTGTGGGGTTGAAAGTAATATGGGATTCTCTTTCAAGTGTGTTTTCTCCCTTTTTATCCTTTCTTGGTATCTAATGCACCTGGTCCATTATGGATTAATTTGGTTTTTGGCAATTAGTATAGGTTATCTTTCTGCCAATTAGTATTTAATAGCTCAGAAAACAAAGTTTTTGCAAATGGAAATACAAATCAGATGATTACTTTCCCCTGACCAAGTTTTTAAACTTGCATGTACAAAGGCTATCTTTGGTGGGAGATAAGATAATAAGATATCAGAATCGCAAGAAAGGTACAATTTGTATTTTGCAGAATTTTGAGTGGAAATATTGTAAGAGAAACTGAAAGACATTAGATTTTTTACTAGAAACAATTTAGGTCCAAGGTGATGCTAAGTTCACCTAGTTTCACGTAATTGGTAATAGGTAGTTTGTGCAGAATTCTGTTGACTGGGTGGTGTGTAGTTTTAGTGTCAAATGACGTATTCTCAAGCATTTCTAATTAAGAGGTAAACATAAAAGCAAGACCGTTTTCTGTGATCTCTGAATAGGGAATGGGTGTATAACATGGACATGTACATGTACCTGATATTTGTAGTGCTGTTATGTTGTGCTATTTCTTGCTTTTTCCTCCCTTTTTTCCCCTTCTTCCTCCAGCCCATTTTTTCCTGAAGGAAAAATAAGTTTAAGAGCAACTACGAATTACATATTATAAGTAAAGTACCCAGAGTTTTGACTTGTTTTAGCAACAGGCTGCTAAGGAGTTTGAATCTGAACTGAAAAAAGAACCTATATCAGCTGCAGAGCCTTCTGCTGAGAAGGTCAAAGCAGTAAGTGATGAAGGTGGACAAGATGCTGAAGTCAAGAGTATTAAGGAGAGTTGATAAATTTGTCAAGATGTTCTAGTACTGTTTAGGTACTTGGCTCCAGCTACCGGTTTTGTTGTATGTGACATCATCTCAAGAGTCAGATGAGTTGTTCAATCATATTCTCTATTAATCAGTTATATTTTTTGTTTCACGTTCAAAGTCAAGGACGGAAAACTATTAGGGCAATTATAAATCACTTAGCCAGGATATGTTTTCTTTTTTTTTTTTTTAAATATAATTGGATTGCATTATCATCCCTGTTTCACCTTCTACGTACTGCCGGTTAGATGCGTTTCAATCTCTAAAATATGGACCACAATGTTAGATGATTTTAGTAAAAGCACTCGCGTGTCTCACTGCACCTCTAGTGGCTGTTTTTCATCCGTGCGCCATTAAGTGCAGTGATAATGAGCTTTCGTATTATGAGATTCCGGAATTGATAAAAAGTCAGAATTTGTATAGTTCTATGAATATATGAAATGCTGAAATTAATTTTTTGGACAAGGCATTAATTCTGCAAACCAACTGGTTAAATGCAACTAAAGATTGTAAAGTTACTCGGTTGTGGGATTGCAATCGCAAGACAAACAATCATGTCTCCCTTGGCTATTCTTTTTTTTTTTTTCGGACATGATAAATTCTATTCTACACCTATTCCTACTATACACTAAGGGAAATGGGTGGATTTAAGCGAGACAATGGAAAACTCAGATGGAACTGAATCATCACCGAACCGCACGGGTGTCTTTGCATTGATTGGTGAAATCTTCACGAAATTCTGCACAAGAATGCTCTTGGATTTCCAAGTGAGCAAAGTACAAAGCAACTTGTGAACCAACTACTACGAGTAGTAGGCCACCAAAAAAGAGATTTAAAACTCTCCTGGAAATTTCACTAACGGGTGCAAAAGTATCCGTTTGGTCCAGTGACAATTCAATCCCCTTCAGGTTCCCCATTGATCCTCTTGGATCCATCTCTTTCCTTTAGTATAGAGTAGGAATAGCTGTAGAATGAAATTTATCGTGTCGGGGGGAAAAAAAAGTAAAATGCAACTTGTGGAATACTCAAAGGGTAGTGCTGCGTATAACTTAATGGAGTTAATCTTGCGATTCAAAAGCCAGGAACCCAAGTTAGAAGAGCAATGTAGCTCAATTAGTGACGTTTCAGCCATCCAGGAGTGTTCTAATCTTCAATTCTCATTGCTGCCACTACAGTATATCATTCTCATTCACCCTAAGAATGTGTAAATGAAATTGCATAATTTCAACCACATTAGTTTTTGTTAGACTAAAACCCTAGCATATTTGCAGTTGAGTCCATTAGCGAACCAAAATTTTTTACTGCTACAATAACCATACACAGTCAAGTTGGAACTATAATTGTATTAAGACGTAGTGGTGAGCAAATGTATTGGATGAACTAGAATATTTCCTACAGAAGAAACAGTAGGATCAAAGAATAAAGTAATAGCTCCTCATAGGGTAGGCTAAGAAGGGCAGGGTATTGGTTTCGAACGATAGGATGTGTAGTCTACAGTCAACTGGTCACAACCCGTACTCACTTCTACCGTGTAACCTACAAAATCTTTGAACTTGACACTACTCCATTGCAGGACTAGATTAAGGCCTCGTTGACATCAATACCCCAACTTTTTTTACTTAACAAACAAATCATTTTTTGCTTTTGCTTTAAAAATGCGGAGTTACATATTAGTTCAAGAATTTAACCGTTGGCACAATATTTTCTCAAAAAACCTAAAGAATTTATACCACAATAATCTACATTTTGACAGGATGACACTATCTATCCTTGTGCTTCCATCAAGTTATACAACAATTTGCAGGACATTTTGTACACGCATTGAAGTTTACCTGTACAATGGGAACCACCAAGTGGATTTGTCCAGTTAGATGAACATGCAATAATACAAGTTCTAAATGCTCCTACTAGACAAATTCCAATCTAACTCGGAAATTTCTAAATCAAAATTTCTTGTGTACCATCACTCAAAGTTTCTCCGGTCAATTGCATCCTGTCTGGTCATGTTGTTCCAATGGTGCCAGCACCACCGCTGCCCTCTCTCAGACCTTGAAGGCAACCATGCAATGTTCTTTGTACACTATCGGCAACAACTCTCAATCTTCCCTGATAAACAGTAGCATTGCTCGACTCAGCAACGCATGAGAGGAATAGCACCACAATATACATTCTGCTAAAGGGTCAATTGCATCCTGTCTGGTCATGTTGTTCCAATGGTGCCAGCACCACCGCTGCCCTCTCTCAGACCTTGAAGGCAACCATGCAATGTTCTTTGTACACTATCGGCAACAACTCTCAATCTTCCCTGATTACCATCTCCGGCTGAAGATCCATTCACTTCCACAGTGCGGGTTACCCGCTGCTTACATTTTTCCCACTCATCAACTCTCAGCCAGCATGCCCGACCTCCATGGCTTCCCTCCATCCCCAGGAAAGATACATTAGGATTATCACCAAATGAGTATCTCAATCTCACAGAAACACAATAAGGAAGCCAAGCAGCACCACCAGCAGCATTTATATGCGGTATGTGAGCAGGATCAAGAACAACAGTCAGTGCAAAATCAACAGCATTATGTGCTCGATCATAGTGAATATTGCTTTTAGATACAGAGGAACTTTCATTTTTTCCATCCATAGTAAAGCCTGCATGATTCTCAAGACAAAGTTCAATGCGGGATTTTTGAGCAGGAGCCAAATCTCCACCTGGAGATGGAGCTAAGCCTTTCTTCCACGCGATGAGTTTCAAAAATTCTCTTAAAACCGAAATTGGTAGAGTTAATAGCGTAATGAATGAAGCAACACGAGAAGCATCATAGGGCTCCGATGCAACGCGACGACTAAAGTAATCGCATATTTCGCTTATTTCAGACGGAGTCAATTCATCCTGAGCAGTTGCTGAATTCTGCTGCTGCCGCTGGGAATGGTGAAATCTAGTTACACTAATAACTTGGAGAAGAAGTTGAACCCTGTGTACACTAACTGCAAAAACATAACCCCTGTTGCAAAATATCAAGTCAATGTTAAGAATGCAAGCAAGAAAAATAATTATAAATCAATAAAAAATGCCATCAACAAGCTAACTGCTTTTTATCAAACACATTATGCCATCCCTTTCTCAGCATAACAACCACATGCATGCACGACAATATAATAGTCAACACAAGAACCAGAACAAAGCCCGTCTCAAAAATATTGAAGAAACAACTCGTATTCATGGTATAAGGGATTGTATTCTATGGACCGTATGACACTTATATCCAGGAAATACAGACAAGCACCCTTCATGTTTTGTTTGCAAGTGTGGAAAGTGAAGGAAAAAAAAAAAAAATTTTCCTTTGTGTGTTTTTGTAAGCCAAGGAAGCTCTAACCTCACTTTCCTGGATATGGTGTCCTGCAAAATCTGCAGAATTTTGGAGGAAATTTGTTCATTACACACAATATACTCAATACCACCAGTAACTACCCATTTTATCTCAAAAGCTTTCTACTTAAACTAACTTTCACAAGAAAGTGGTTTTCTTGTTCCTATACTTCCTTCACTTTCCCACATGACTTTCCTCTTATTATCATAACGTATTAAGACCATTATGCTTGTACACATATGCCAAATTTCTTTGTAGACCATGAAATTAGATCTGTCAAATCAGGACAAAGCTCCGTTGGGATTTTTTTTTTTTATCAGGCATCAGTTATCTGTCCCTGAATTGCAAAATAATCATCTTTTTCAAAAATGATACCATATAAATTGAAGTAACTATGTTTGGATAATGGTTAATAGTTCAGCTAACTCAAAGTTTGACTGCAACTACTTAATTTCTTAAATTACCCTATGTTGATTGACGATCACAAAGAATTGGCCAACTTCAACATTTGCAGTCTAGAACATTGAAGGACAATAAATGTTCAATAGAATACTGATACTAGTACATGACATTTAACACAAACAGTAATGAAAGAATTACATAATTGATTGTCTTATTAGTAGAAAATCCACAATTCACCATGTGCATTCTGCATCATACTCAAGGCCTCTTTTTTTTTTGGGGGGGGGGGGGGGGGGGGTTCCTTTTTCCTTAAAATTTCTGTGTCTGGACCTTATGATTATGTCAGAGTGATAAGGAAGAAGAATCGACATCATTCCACAGGTAAATACCATGCAACAGAAGATTCACGAATTTTAGAACACAAAACCTTCCTTTTTTATAAGCCAAATCAATTTTCTAAGTAGTTTCCATGCACAGAGCAACAGCAAGGAGAAGAGTAGAGCATAGTAGGAGGAGAAGAAGAGAGCAAACAACAGCTACAAGGGAAAGAGCAGAGCACAGTCCAAAACTTATTAAAACAGTTTTATCTTAAAAGGAAAAAAAAAGAACATAAGAAAGAGAAAGAAAGATCAAAAAGAGTATGTTCAGAATATAAAGCAAGCAGAGGATGTCTGTGTGTGTGCAGGGGCAAAAGAAGAAAAGAGTAGCAGGGAAAACCAAGAACAGGGAGCAAACCTTGTAGAACAAAGAAAAGGAAATAAAAAACAAAGGAGATACATAAGGAAGCCAACAGCAGCAGAGAGAACAAAAAGAAAACAGGAGGTTACAAAGGTCAGAAAGAGCAATCCAGGACAGAGAAAAGGAGCAGTTTAATGACTGTCCACAAAAAGTTGGAAGATGCATCTACATGCATTTGCAAACTATGTGGGTCAATGCGCGTCAGGCTTTAGAACCCAAAGTACATGGATTACACAAAATACTTCTGCCTAACGTGATTTAGGGATTTGACTGCATGTCTTCATATTAGAATAATCCGGTGTGCTTCCATTGCTACACACATCAGGTTAATAAAATAAAAACATGAACAAATGCCAATAAACCACCATGTTCTTACCCGATAAAGAAGCGTAATGCTGGTTGCTCCTGATCCAAATTCAAAAGTGCACCTTCATTATCCTTTAGGATTGAACCGAGGATCTCTTTCAAAAGCTCTGGTAACTGTGCAAATAGCCACAACACTCCCAGATATTTGAGAATACCTCGAAGAACCTTCTTGAGGGCAACAAGAGGGACCCATCCACCACCATAACCTCCATCATCCCCAAGCCCAATAATGGCCGTATTCAGTTCGCCTCTTACATGGGCAGGTACACCTGTGCCAGGAGATCTGCGTAATGGCAACCCAGAGTTTGCTGCAGCTAAATTTGATCCGGCAGGAACAACATTTCCCATGCGATTTAGACCAGAAACAGCATTTGCTGACCGAGATATTCCAGCAGAATTTGCGAGATTGGTTCTGTTTCCATTGGAGGCTGAAAGGTGTGAAACTGTACTTGGATTTGAACTACTACCATTGGCTAGAACAACTGTTTGTTGACCACCAGCAAAACTGGAATCTATGCCATTCAATTCCTGAGCAACATGCTCCATTATAAAGGGCCGGAATTGTGGACATGGAAGTGATCCTCCAACAGACGGTCCCCCTTTGGGTGGCGTTGCAGGTTGCAACCAAACCTGATCTCCGGCAAAACATCGCATGTCAACAGCAAAATTTTTCCGATATATAATCCGTATCCAGTAGGGACCACGGAGTACTACAGAGACATCAATTGGCAACAATGAACTAGGAACAATGCCAGGACCACCTCTCCCAGCGGCAGCAGCGGCTGCAGCTGCCAACATTGCAGTAGTATGAGGATTTTGAGAAGCAAGAGGACCTGAAGTTACAGAGGCAGAAGCATTTCCTGCAGGAACAGATGCAGCCTGACTAGCATTGGGTGTTGCAATGCTTGGCAGCTGACCCTGAGACGGAACATATCCACTCTGTCTTGACATAGAGGAGATAGGTGCTGCAACACCAGAAACTCCTGAAACAGGAGCAGCTCGTGCAGGACGTGTGGCAGCAGCAAGAGCCTGTAAGGGTCCAGCAGTCAGTCGTATACAATCCAAAAGCGATGCAACTTCAGCACCATTGATGAAATCTTCCAAAAACTGCATAGAAAAAAAAATCAAAGTTATGCAGGCTTTTCCTGATCAAATGCAAAATAAAGCTAAATAGTTAAATTATAATGGAAAACAAGATAAAAAGATACATATATAGGGGACAGGAAAATGAGCACAGTAATCAAAAGACAGTCTTATAAGAAAAGGAGGAAAGGTATTGGTCTCAATAAAACCAAACATTCGAAGCCCAAGTAACATACACAGACAAGTTTATCAAGTGCTATAATAAAAGAGGAAATAAAAGCAAAGACAAACAAGAATTTGGACCAGAGACATAGTCACAGGTACACACACACCTTGGTGTGGGGCCAAAGTTGGTCAGGAGAAACATGCATTGTGCAGCCCTCTTTGCCTGATTCCCATTCAACAACAAAGCGAGCAAGTACTCCAGATCCAAAACTGAACCATAAACTCATAAGTCCAACAGCTTCAATTTTAAATGCCCTCCTCATCTGTTCAGAAAATTTGTCAGCCATGTCTAGTACAGTTTTCACACCACCTGGTGCTTTAACATCAGAGGCAGTAGCATTTTCTTCAAATTTCTCATCTGTCCGTACTCCAAGTAGACTTTGCATTCCAAGGGCAAAGGTTCTAGCATTAGAAAGCCTTTCGATATCGGCTACTAGTTTCCTAATACTATCAGCCTCAACAGAATGGTAACTCAAAACAACACCTTCAGCATCATACCGAATATGAGCGTCAACATCAGATGTATTAGCAATACGAACACCAGGACCCCATGGAGAATTACTCATTCCTTTCTGAAGTTCCCACAAGTCCCTGAAGTGTTGATCACAAATTTTCACATCCCAATACATACTTCCAGGTCTCCCCAATCGTAAGCATATATGCTGCCATGTATCACCTCTTGCAAATGGAAGACGAAACCACAAGTTTGAGGATGCACTTCTTAGACCCACTTCTTCAACATATGGAATGTCAAGTGCGTCCATCTGACTGGTTAGTCGGGCATGCTTAATACAAAGTGAGCAGTGTCTGACCACGTGAAGAAGAGCAGAAACATATATACTAGAGGGTAAATTACCCTTATTTGCTTCAGATATAAGATCTCCATAACTGTATCCCTCAGTTTTTCGAAAAAGTTCTGAAGTAATGAGCATCTGTGAAGTAAGTTGTTGAGGTCTCCATTCCACTATTCTCCTTCTCTTGTAAGATTTGTCATTAGCTTCTGGATGTTGAAGTGATGGGAGAGAGCTCAACAAATCTGTCAGCGTACGCTTTCTTGACATTTTCTCTTGTCGCGGAACAGTATCAAGATTTGAATTCATATAATTGGAATCTGGTGTTTGAGCTGGAAAGGAACAAAAAAGAAGCCCCCTGTTTAACAAGTAATTTATCGAAGAAAATATGTTGAAAGAAATTAATCCTACTAAATAAACATGCACAAAAAAAAAAAGCAGATGGAAACCTATCACCTAGAAGTAGGTATCTTACATACGGGAGACGCAACCAATGAATTAAATCCAGAAACTCTAAGATTTCCAGGTATAGCATTGCCGGATGAATTTCTAGCTCCAATAGGTTTTGCACTTGCTCCAGAAGCAGGAAGGCCAAGTTGAGGGGAGGGAGACAAATGTCCAGCTGTACGAATTCCGGGAGTTGTTACCTGATGTTCATCGATCAATGAGTAAGACCCAAGTCCACCAGACTGTGGAGACCTCAGAGAGGTCAAATCTTGATCAGACTTTGAGGAGGATAAGTTCTTCACCTGACTTCTTCCAGGGCCAACGGAAATGGAACCAGTAGAACCTGACTGTATCAAGCCCCTATAATGGCTCCCAGTGTAGATGGAACCACTATAACTAGGTGGCATACCGGACAATCTGGTCGGTACCTGTGAACCACCATCCCACTTAGGAGATGGCGTTCCAACTTTTGTAGAATGGAGATTCATACCTCCAGCGCCAAAATGAGATGCAGGAGAAGTACCATATGTTGAACCCAGACTTGGGCCATGACCAGAGAGATTGGCGGCAGATGACCCTTTCTCCAGCTCAAATACTTCATCCACAATTGATGAAAACTTTGAGGGAAAGCTAGAGGCAAGTGCAGATCCCTCCAAGGTGAATTCAGAAAGAAGACTTTGTTCAGAAGTCCGGTTAGGACTGAGACTAGGTAAAACAGATAGTAATTTTCCACAGTCAAGTAGGCTTAGATTGAGATCATCTTCACACATCTGCATCTGCCCAATATCAACATCTTTTACACGAATGATATTATTCAAGTCACTAAAAGATTCAGCTTTCCCTGAAGGATCTGGCTGAGTTTCCATTAAGTTAAACAGCGGTTTGAAATCCTTGTCAAGTTGCATCAGCAAATAATAAGAACTCCCACACTCTGGAAAACTCATCAGCAACACACTCGAACCATTTGAAATATTCTTAGGTAACTTCAACGATGCAAAACCACGTTCAAAGACCTGCAATAAAGAGCATGCAATTAACCAGCTTAGTCTTTTGAGTGGTGAAATATAGAATGCGCACTTGAAGGATTAACAAAATGCCAACAAACAAATTAGAAATTCTCTGATTCATTAAATTGGCTGAGAACCATGAAGCACCTCAGGATAGCCATCCAGGATATCTTAACAATGACTTATTGGGGACTAGTAGAGGACTGGGCATGAGATATCCACCACACAGTAAAAATTGGCCAACCCATAAACAAAACAGTTTTTTCTTTGAGAAGGGAAAAAAAAGTCAATTCAATTAAATTCACTTCAGATAGAAGCCTTCGTGTAGAGTAAATATGCCTACATCCAGTGAAATCAGAAGTTTTGCAAGTAGTATGAACCTTTTTAAGGACAAAAGACTCCTATATCTAACAAAAATGCACAAAAATAAAGCAAACAATAGGACATTTTGTTTTTGAACAGAGCAAACAACGGGACATTTTGTTCTGAAATTTTGAATATCCCTTGATATACCAAAATTCTCTGGCATATTCTGCCAAACAAGTAGCTGTAAATTGGAATATAAACAATCATTGACGCAAAATGTCGAATCAAATAATGTTACCCAGAAAAATTGACGCAAAATGTCGAATCAAATAATGTTACCCAGAAAAACTAACATTGTGATAAGAATGGTGAAACATCGTTTTCTAAACAACCACCACAGAAAACTTTGAAAATTAACTCCAAAAGAAAGGAACTCCACATATACCTCCAGGCCCAAGGACCTTCCAACACATGCAAACAAGTGTGAAATGCTTTTGCTTCTCAAGCTTATAAAAACTTGTGCAGCAGTCATAGTTCTTTGGTTTAGAGCTTCTTCACACTCCAAAAGTTCAGATGGTGAGACAGTATTCTTAGATGAGTGAAGAAGGAAGTGGCCATTCCTGAAGTTAAGAGCAAGGAACCAAGTTTAGTTCAAGAGTTACCAAAAAATAAAACCACAAAACTGAAAGAAAAAAAAGAAGAGGTGACGAACAGAAGAACTTATATTTCTCTCATTGAACCTTATATTTAATCAACACCAGACAAGAATCACACAACAAAGAAAAAGTGAACGAACTACTACATGATATTAAAGTGAGCCTGTTTAGATGGTGCTTTTGTTAACTGTACATGTGGGTATTACTAAGGAGGGTGGTGGATTAGGAGAAGGGAGGGGACCAGGAAGAGGGAAAAGAAGAGTTGATGGGGATGGCAGGTAGGGGGGAGGAAGGACGAGGGGGGCTGGGGGGCTGAGGAAGGAGGAAGGAGGGGACAGAATGGGCCCAGATGGAAGGGAAGCTGAGGGCGGTGGGTGCGGTGGGTGCGGTTGAGGGAAAGGGGTATTGATGTGTTTTTTAGATAGTTTTTAGGGGAGGATTACTTTAGATGTGTGTTTAAGAAGACCTACCTATGTTTTGCCAAAATAGTCCATTCGATCAGAGCCATAATATGAGTTCATTCACATTAATATTACAGAATGGTGAAACCATTTTCACCATTTAAAAAAATCAATATCTTAATAGACAAAGGTAAGGAGTAAAAACCTTAAATTTATTCCAAGAGTGAAAAACGATAAGCCGTAGGCACGGACCGACAGAACTTCCTGCCCTTCATCCTTCCTGGAATCAAATTTAGATATGTCCTGCAGAGAATCAGTGCAGAAATGAGTCGTCCATGTTTAAAACCTTAAAAGACTAAATTCACGATCTGGTAAAAAGACAGGTAGTAAATCATAAATGCCACGCAGAAAAAACATCAAATGGATTGTACTCATTTCTCGTTAAGTTAAACTTTAGTCAATCCCAACTATTACTTTTTCTTTTTTGGTTTTTGGGGGGTTGGGGGGGGGGGAGATAATGCACATTATGACAATTAATTTCGCTGACACAGAAGCAAACTTTTGGCCGAAAAAAACAATCAACATCGACTACCAAGTTCATACACCCCCTGGTCCTCAGAACAGAGACACCCAGAATCCAGATGGCAAAGGATGCCAATACCAGAAAGAAGATCCATAAAACACCATGTTATCATTGTAGGAAAAGGACAAACAAACTTTGGTATAACTCCATGACAAGTAGAATATGAAAACTAAAATCAGCAAAGGTTGTGTTCTAAGATGAGAGAGGCAACAGATTTTGATAACCAAATAACTTGGAAGCCTAAACCAGAAAATTGCACAACTCAGAGTACTATAACCAGACCAAAATAGGTACCAATGGACAGACTACTAGTCAACACTAAAGGCCAATAATAAAAAAAATACATCAAAAATTTTATAATATTTTTTTACTTAAATAATGACACACATAATGCACAAAATCCAACAACAGCCAAATAAACAATCACCAAACAGATTATAAGTACTACCAAATTCACAGTGGACAACCATTGTCTGGAAATGTGACCCCACAATAACCACTTTCTGCTTACAGAAATGTTCCTTTCCAACTAAACAAGAAAAGTTATTGTTCCTTTCATAATTGAGTTTTACATCATTAAACAAGCAAAATCCCATAATAAACTTCAAGAGAATCAGAGAAACTAAATTTGAAAGTCTAAGACAGAAGAATCATAACATCTGTCATGTTTCATCCTTTGAATTTAGGAAATTTAATACCTTCCACCTCATAAAAAGTACACTACTTAAGCATCATAAGCTTTTTAATATTGATCTATTCTAAACTCCTAAATCTCTAACTCTTTATTTTCACTTCTTTCTTAGCAGTGCACATTCATTCCTACATGATATTTCACAAAAGCATAGCTACATTAGGTTAAGGACAGTGATCATAGCCTATACAGCTGAAAATTATATACATAACTCGTGCAGATGATGCAATTTTGAGCAAGTTCCCAAGTACGATTATGCATGCACTAGACACAATTTCCAACAATTTAATAAGCATCCTCATTCAAGAGTTTATTTCCAGTTCAACAAGCAAGGTAGAGACACTTCTGATGGGTAATAACCATGATGGTATATTTAATTTAGACAAAATTAGATGCTAAAATAAGTGATTCTTAGTATCATCCCCTCCACTCCAAAATCTTCACAAGATAAAACAATGTTACCCATGTAGTTACCGAAGGACCTAAGAACTGGTAGATAATCACTTAAAAAATCATTTGATGCAATCTTGCCTATAAGATAATGAAATGACATTGGCTTCATCAAGAATAGATGACAAAATTTACCCTTATACTGTCTTTTCTCTTTATCTCTGGTCAATAATCCACATAGGGTCAAAAAAATCTGGGAAAACCTCCGACTGTAAAGTGCATATTCTTTTGTAAATAAATTCTACAACAAACTCTAATTTGGCATGCAAACATTTCAAAATCCAAAGACATGTTTAAGTCAACCTTACCCATAAATAAAAAATGTAACCATGTAAACCATTAACTTTTGGAAACTATGGAAGTATCAACAGGAAACAATGTTCAGAAATATACTTACATCCAATTTCTCTAATAATTAAACCAATAAAAGACATTGGTCTTATAATTGAAAGGTTACAAGACTTTTGACCATTCTGTTGTAATTGTATCCAGCAGCAAGCAATATGAGGGAACTTTTAAGTGATCTTTCCTACTTAAACTTAGTCAATGGTCCAACATCCGTAAAAGAGGGGAAACAAACAAAGAAAAGTTAAAAAAATTAACTCAAAAACAAAAGAAAAACAAATATCGAGTATCATATGAACTGACCGGGAAAGAAGAGTCTTAAGAGCATACATTCCGCAAGCAATTGCAGGAAATTAACGCAGAACAAAACATTTCCACCTCAAAATCCAAAACAAATGGACCAATTCCATAACACAGAAAAGTGGAACAATAAGGCTTGTCCTTTTCTCATGCAGCTTTTCCTCATTTTTTCGAATATAGGTGCCATATTCTTCAAATTTCAAGCAAAAAATTGCAATATTGCCATACAAATCATTTTAAAATAAGAAATGCCAAACCTCTTACATAGCTCATGTTTTCCAAAAGTTCTCCACTAGACGCCAATAATAATCACTAATTTACAACTAAAGCAATTACTTTCATTTCTCTCCACTTTCATATGTCTCCTTCAAAGTTCATAGAAAATTCAAGAATTCAAGGTTTGACATGAATTAACAGTATCTGGTCTTCTGCAATTCAAAAAAACAATAAAGTAATTCCTTAGTGGCGATTCCAGTCATCATCAGTCTATTATCTAAAGATAATTTGATCTTCAGTGAAAAATCCTGGAAGTTATCCCACTCAAACTAACATCTTATGTACCTTGTTTCATTCTATTTTTCTTTAACAAAATATGAAGCACCAAGAGATTCACAGACAAGCATCCCAATGATATAGCTCCCATACTTCAATCATGTATGAAATACAAACCAACCATGTCATGTAAGAACAAAAATTCAAAATATCTGAAGACCTTAATGGTGCATGTCGCATAAAAAAACTGAGATTATGTTTTTTACTTGGACTAAATAGGAATCTACTTACTGGTATGGATCTATGTGTCAAATTTGTTACTCTTCTGAAACTAGGATATGGTGATACCACTACAGAGTTCAACACAGGTAAGGAGGTCTGCCCTGTATCTAATTTGTATGTAGGATATTATGAGATATGACCATATAAACCGACTATACAAAAATGTGTCTTATGTTTAAAAAATATATTTACATATTAATCATTTATTCATGTTGCACATACAACTGAAGGAACGGAAATAAACATCAGAATTAGAACTCATGCACTCATTGTGGTTTCAATCATGACATAGGAATTAAACCTTAATTTCCCCTCATTTTCTTCTAGCGTTCATTAACCTAGAGGTGTCCAAAACTTACAAATGCAGTGTCATACAGAGATCCTGTGCTACTACCAATGTCCAGGTTAACATGGGCACGACTAGGAAGGGGAAGTATCCAAGTAACAGAGACTGAAATAGACAAAGAAACTAACCTTTTTACCGTCATTGTCAAATTTATCCATCTGAGTCTCAAGACGAACATCTCCTGGGGCTCGAACGATCTGATTATTTTTCTCCAGCTCTTTAAAAATTTCAAGCAGACGAGTATATCTGTTGCAACAAATTGCTCTAAGTAGCAACTTCTCAACATCAATGCAACTCTGGTCAAGGGAAAATTCTGCCTCCTTTCCAGTCACAGGATCAATGACAAATGAGCTGTGAAGGCACTTGATTTGCAGATCAGGTCCTGGTTCAATTTTAATGAAAGGGCATGATCCTACGTCAGGAGTACTAGAGGTTTTGTCAAAATCCAACCAATATAAAATCTTTAAACCAGGTGTTCTCAAAACAGCCGCATCAGCCTCTCCATCTTGTGTTATCTGCGTGCCACCAGCATTCCCACCTTGTCCCATGCTACCATCAGATATGAGCTCAAACTTAATTGCATCTTTCCATCTCCCTTGTCGAAGTGCTTGAACTTGTCTTATAACAGTATCCATTACAAGTGCAACACAAAGTTCATGAAGAATAGAATACAATGTCATAAATGCGTTTTCTGCAGCAGCCATTCTGCGTTCCAAATCATCGCCAAGAGCATGCCGCTGCAATTCTTCCAGCTTAACAGGCCCAGACCTCTCACCAACAAGCAGCTCCAAGTGTAATATCCTCCACAAGGACAAGTGCCCTCGGTAACCAAGGGTGACAAGAACCTTAAACTCCCCATCTACACGAAGCAGCACAGTACCATCTGAAATCTTTACTTCAGTAATATCTTTTGGAAGCGAAACTTCAAGTAGCTTGGACCTGACGAGTGCATCCAGCTTCATTAGGGCTGGCTTTTGCTGATCCACATTCAACGTGCTCTGAGTACCAACATCTTCAATACATTTTGGCAAACGATGGTATGTTCCATTCAGTAGGACCTCAACAGCAGATGGAACATCATAGATAGGAGCACGAGCTTGTTGTAAGCCCTCATGCATGAAAAACATCGAATCGGCAGCTTGGCTGAAACATGTGTCATGACTTGATAGGGTCGACTCAAGTTGTTGACAATATTGTACAAGAGGGACCTGCAGACAACACAGCAGGAACACAAAAAGAGAATTTTTTCAAAAAGGATACATGGACTATCAAAACTTTACATGAGAAATTCCAAGGACTATCTTCTCTAAAATAAATAAAACACATAGCATCAAGTATAATGTACAAAGGAGCAATCAATACCGCACTTCTTAAAATTGAGATATTTAAGACACCATGTCAGAGAACTACTCACAAGATATTCCTATAAAATGTTCCATTGAAAAATGATCCTCACCAAGTCCACTTTCTTGTGTAACTCTTAATCCATGAGTTGTGGGGACAATTATGTAGCCTCTAACAGTGACTAAAGCGTTATAAAAAAAACTAATACCTGATTAATAAATAATTAACCTTCAATAAAAAAAATACAAGATACATAGAACTAAGATTCCATAAATAAGCCGCTTAAAAGTCTTGGTACAATAATAATCCAAAAGTAATGCACATAAAAGTACAACAATATTAATGTCAACATTTTCAATGTAACCAATTACTTTAACTAATCAATCATGGGTGCACCATCTCAGCTATGAGGTTATTCATGTATTTTTGGCATAACATTTCCATATGAAAGAATACAAGCAGTTAAACCAACACATAAAATAAGTGGCTTTGCTTTGGGGATCAGCTTGCATGTCTTCTGTATGACCAAAGAGAAAAAACAATTGAAGAGGTATACAGCCTTACCAATTCGTATTACAGATATCTAGCAGCTTAATTGCAAAACATCTCAAAAGAACAGAACAAACAGATGCACATACAATGGCAGTGCAGCAATAAAGGAATCTCGGTCCTTTTTGAAGCACCATTAAGAGGGCACTTCCTCAGCTCCTACCCTAGCCCAATTCTTGGTCACCAAGATCCAGGAGGGGGACTCGTACCTTTATTAGTTTAAAACCGAGAAATTTTCGCCTTTTAATCTAATTGAATGCATAAAAATACTTTATAATCCTAATTGAAACCCTTTTAGAGAGGAAAAAAAAGGCATAAACATACAATATAAATCTGTATCAAGATATATGGAAATTTTTCAGAATTACTAACAAACAGCTTGCAAGAAACCGAATGCTATTTCTTAATCTGGAACAAAAAGATGTTGCAATCTCAATTTTCACTCTCTAACACTTCAGATGCCAGGTATCTCCTTCAGGCATAGAAGACAATAAACACGTAACAGTGATTAACCCACAGACAACCTCCCCATTCCTAAACTTGCACTCAAGCTGAAAATATATATAAGGGTCACGAAAAATACCAACTTTGACTAAAAGCTTATAATTCATAGGCGTTGTATTTGTCCATGTCTGTGACGTGTCTTCACATATTACAAACTAAAAAAAGGTATACATGACAAGTGGAAACTCCTCTGCAAGCTTTAACAGATGTCCGAGCAAACCCACCAAGTTCACTGCCTAAACTGACCTTACTTTCCGTACCATAGACTCCTTTCAACCAAAAATCCCTAATTTATGAACTTCAACAGCCGTCAAAGTCAAAGAATCAATATCCAGTGCAAAAGAACAACAACCATCACGTGAAATCAATACAGATACCATAATTGATACTTCTGTTTCTCGAGGAGATTGCCTAACTTCAACGCTTACATTTAAAACCTTATTTTCCTTTTCACACTGTCTGAGCTAAAAAATCCAACATTATTAGCATTTAACTACCTAAGCCTCTGAAACTTACAAACAAAAAGAAAATTCAGCAAAAGTAACATTCTTGATTTCTCATTCACTAGTACACTGTTTTCCTTAATTTCCCAATTCCTTGTTTTCATTTCTTATTCTCAACCTTTATTTACATCCAAACCCGCCGGAGTGAAAATTATCATAAAGTTCCAATTTTTGAATTGATAAATAACAGCTACAGCTTCTGACCCCATAACATTTTTCCCCAGTTAAAGTATTCAAAAACTTCAACAGAAAACAACATTTTCCACTGTAAACCATTCAGTTGCAAAAGAAATTCCACATAAATCCATGCAATACACTAATAATTCAAACATGGGCGAAAATTCACTTATCAAAGAGAAAAGAAAGAAGCTGACCTGCTGGCACCACTTGGCGAGGACATTGAGTCGAAGCATACGCTGCTGAGTCTTGACTACATACTTGAGGATCCCAATCTTCTTCTCCGAGTCCGAAATGTCCGAACCTTTCGACTTCTCCACCAATTCCTTCAAAGAAACATAAGATTCCTCGGCCGCCCTGGCCACCAGCGTCGAGAAATCCACGGTCTGTTGCCCTAATTCCGCCATTATTCAATCAAATTCTCTCTCCCCCGCTCTATACACACATAAAAATTAACAAAATATATGTATAAATATTGAATGCTGCGTAATGAATCAAGAAATGAAGAGAAATCGATCTTGAAGTGCAGGATTTTTGTACTAAAGGGAAACCATTGAACTAATAAGTGCTGTATTAGGGTTTCGATTTTTTTCTTCAATTGCAAAACCCTAGGGTGAGAACTGAAGATTCAGGAGTTTGAAGAAGAGAGAGAATCTTTCTCTCTCCCTCTCTCTTTCTTTGCTCATCAGATGCGTATCTTCTTCTGTTAGATAAATCTGTCGCGCTACCGCGCTCGATTCCTCTGTCTCTCTCGCGAAAACGATGTGTATGCATATATAATATGCAGAAAATATGTGTGTACTATTAAATTATACAAATAAACTTTTAGGGCCGATTAAGAAAGATAGAGAAAGGAAAAGGGGTATTAATAGTAATTTTTTTGGTCTAGGAATTTTTGGTCTACAAAAGGGGTATTAATAGTAATCTTTTCGGTCTAGAAATTTTTGCATTCCTAACATATTTTTTGAGCTTTTGGGAGAATCACATTGCATTTTGTTTTCTTTTTTGAAAACTGTGGCGGAAATTTTCAATTGAGTGTTCTAGGAATATTTACAATATAGGATAGGAAAATTCTGAAATTTTTGTTTTCTTACACAAAAAAAGTTCTTTGATCTTTCTTGGAAAATATAAATGAAGAGTCGGAATTGTGTTTTCGTAAGTGTGTCAAGCAAAACTTAATTGAGCACAATACACTATCTATATTGTTCTAAAATGGTGTAAATTCAACTGCCATTGTCTTCTTTTTTTTAAGGTTTTTTCTAGTAAAGCAAAATGTGAAATTATAAGTGAGAGGAAAAATATTTATAATAGGATAAAATAAAATAAGTGTAGTGGCAATTACTTACCTGTTCATAGTACAAAAGTCCTATAAAGGTGGCTAATTCCTTAGATTATTGGTTGGAAAAAAAAATTCAGACACTTACGGATCTGACACGGGATATGTATAAATCTATGGGTCTCAGCCCGGCACCTGACACAAACTGACACTTTTTTTAAAAAAAAAATCCCCATGGTGTCGGGCTGTCTCAGCCCGGTACCTGACACACATTCTTTGGCAGACAGCCCGGCACCTGACACACATTCTTTGTCACCGAACTTTTCTTAAAAACCAAAAAAAAAAAAAATACCGATCAGCAAAATTCACTCTTTCAATTCTTAGCGTACGTGACTCCAACATTTCCACTAGAATTGCTAGGGTTGAAACAAAATTCACCACTTAGGGTTTTTTGGTGAACCCACAGGGGAAAGAACAGCATGGGGCGGCAAGGGAGAAATATGAATGGTTCAAGGCAACTCTTAACATCCGCGAGAGTCGAGTAACTTTTTGAAAAGGGGCTCAACTTTTGGACAATGAAAAAATAATACCAATGAAAAAGTATCAAAAGCATTTATTAAGTATTTAGGAGCAATTTTAAAGTGAAGTTTTTTAATCTTGATGATCGGGCTGGAGGATGCTACTTTTGATGATTTGGACCTGTTACAAATTGAGCATAAGAAATAGGCGTTAATCATAATTAATTTCCTTAGAATATATATCATTTTTCACTTTAGCTTCTAGCAACGGCTCCGTTTGGATTAGCTGTTTTTGGGTTTGTTTTTCAAAAACACAATTGTAGCATTTTGAATATGAAAAACAAGTCCGTTTGGATCAGTTGTTTTTGGAGTTGTTTTTCAAAAACTATATGAAAAACTTTTACTATAGATTTTTTTGGATTATTTTTAGAGGTATTTTTCAAACATATTTTTGAGTATTTTTAGAATATTATAATTTTTATATTTTTATATAAATATACATTTATGCATTTATAATACATTTATATTTACAAATGTATAGATGTATATTATTATAAATGTATAAATTACAAATGAATATTATATAAATGTATAAATTATAAATTATAAATTATAATTTTTATATTTTTATATAAATATGCATTTATGCATTTATAATACATTTATAGATATTTATAAATAAATAAATTTATATATTCATATAAAAAATATATAAATGTATTATATTATATATAATACAAAATCTAAATATATTTATAAATGTATAAGTGTATATTATTATAAATTATAAATTATAAATGAATATTATAAATATATTATAAATTATAAGTGTATATTATTATAAATGTATAAATTATAAATGAATATTATAAATGTATAAATTGATATATTATAAATATATATTAATATTATGTAGAAATGTATTTATATAATTAATATAAATGTATATATGTATTGATATTATGTATAAATGCGAAATTAATATTGTGTATATTAATATAAATGTATAAATGTATTATATTATATATAATACATAATATAATTATATATTTAAATGTATAAGTGTATATTATTAAAAATGTATAAATTATAAATGAATATTATATAAATGTATAAATTAATATATTATAAATATATATTAATATTATGTAGAAATGTATTAGTATAATTAATATAAATGTATACATGTATTAATATTATGTATAAATGTAAAAATATTATTATGTATATTAATATAAATGTATAAATGTATTATAAATGTATTATATTATATATTATACATAATATAAATGTATATTATAAATATACATAAATATTTATATATTATGTATAAATGTATAATATATTATATATTATATTATATATAATTTATATAACATATAATATTTATGTAAATATATAAAAATATATTATAAATAAAATAAAATATTTATAATATGTATGTATAAATATATAATATTAGAAACGTATAATATATATAATATACATTATTATTAATATAATTTATGTATAATATACATAATTGAAATATACATATTAATATATATTAACATATATTATAAAACAAAATTGAATAAATATATTTATAAATTTATTTATAAATAAATGTATTTATATAAATATATAATAGTTATTTCAATTCATATAATATATATAATATTATACATAATTGAAATAAATATATTTATATTAATATAATATATATAATATACATAATTGAAATATACATATTAAAATACATAATTGAAATATACATATTAAAATATATTAAAGAATAATTGAAATATACATATTAAAATACATAATTAAAATATATAAATTGAAATATACTTATTAAAATATACAAATTAAATATACATAATTGAAATATATTTGGAGTTATTTTTGATATATTGTTTGGATATGGTGTTTTTGAAGTTGTTTTTGAAATACACATTTACTGTAACATTTGGAATGTGAAAAACGATTTTTCAAAAACAGGTGCAAAAACACTCAATCCAAACGCAATCAACGTTTTTTGTCTCGCTTTGTCTTGCATTGGAAACAATTACACCTATACTATTATTAACTCTTTTTCCTCTGGCATTTTCTTCTTCCTCTTTTGTGCTCCTATATTTTCTTTGTCACTTTATATTGTTTCTTTAAATCTTTTTCTTTTTCAAAAAAATTTTTATCTTAATAATTGAAATTGAAAAAGAGAAATTGTAGAGTTCTATCTTTTCCTTAAATGATTAAAAAATATTCAAATCACTTGACTTGAAATACAATTATCTAGTATTCATATTCTTTTAATTGTGAATTTTCCTCTTTCCTTTATAGTTTCTCATTTTATTCTCAAAAAAATATCGTAAGATGAAATTGTGATATGATTAGTAATTATTAATTGCAATTTGTGACACGTTGCATCATACAAAAGATAAAAATTAGTTTTTGATACCTTTTAAATCTGAACCCAGAAATGCAATTACAAAATGAAATTAAAAATTTCTATTAAGATGGAGTTTTGTATTGAAAAGGACGAAAGATAGAGGAAAGAGAAAAAAGAATAAAATAGAGAAAAAAAGGAAGGGTAATTGAAGGTAAACGGAAAAAGGTAAATGAAAAATGAAAATATGGGAAGGGTAATTTCATCGTATAGGGGGTTAAGTGAACAAAAATAAAAATTATGGGGGTAAAGTGAGAAATAAGATATATGTTATTGGAATTAATTGTAATTAACCGTAACATTTTAGAATTTGTATTCATTCTCATGTTGGTACTTATATTGAATTAATGCATTTTACCAATTGAACATAATGCATAACAATAGAACATCTATTTAAGTTGTGAATTTTTTTCGTAGTTTGTATTGTGAGGATAATTCCATAAATCTCCCATGCAAAAAAATCAAAAAACCAAAACAAGAAAAAAAAAAGTTTAATAAAAAGCTAGGTCGACCTGAAGTACTAAATCTTTTAGTCTTTTAAGTTAATTAATTTTCATTTCAAAGTTGAAACGTAAGAAAAAGATGAAAATAGATTTGTGCAAAATCACTAATTACTCCTATAGGATGTTAAACTAAGAAAAGGTTTTTCAAACAAAATATCCCATTCATTTTGTTAGAATTATTATGTAACTTTTAAATGTTCACTATAATTTTATAAATATAAATTTATTGTGCAATATAAAAAGAAAAAAGGACGAAAAAAAGAAAGAAAAATGCATAGCGTGACATGGTGAAATGGTTAAATATAAAAATAACGATAAGCATTCAAATAATAAAAGGCTAAAATAACGCTAAATCCCCATATTATAATATTGATATTTAACAAACATGTACTGAAAATGATCACATCAACGGCCGGTGCGCCTTTTGCCCTTGCCTTTATCACCTGGTGTTGTGGACGGACAGCAAAATCTTTTGAGTTGTCGTCTGCAACGTTCCCGCAGAACTATTGGCTCCTGTTGTGCATCGATTGGAGGGGCAACATCTATGGAAGCATCATCAAGTCCTGCGTCCTTCTTCTCAACCGTGTCTGCAGTCGTACTGCTATCACAATCGTTCTGAGAGCGATACGTGACAAAATCTCCTGAATGACCGTATCTAGTAGTACATACTGGCTGAATCGACGTAGGTACGGTCATAGGCTGTCCAAAACTATAATAATCAGGAAGGTCTGAAATAGGAGATGTACCACCCACTCCACTAAGAAGAGTGAATATTGGATGTAGTTCAGAAGCAGAAGATGACACCGCTGCAGTGGTAGTGTCTCCAACTAGAGGCTCGTGCGATGAGGATGGATATTGTCCACCGAAGACAGGACAATATGAAGAGGGCGTGGGATGTGCACCAAAAGGTGAAAACTGTGGCAAAGGCGTGGCATCTAGACCAATATGCGATGAGTACGGGAAAGATGTCACTTGAGGGCTAAAAGCCGATATATTCTGTGTAGTTGGCATAGCATTGATATCCGGCA